TCAGTTTTTTTCAATGCAAGACCGGAAAGCATATTTAAAAACATATACAGGTATGGAAGCCACTAGGAGTTGCTACAATGCAGGAAGGAAGGGGATATACATGAAAATCTATGGTTGTGTCCCTGCATACATACTAATAGATAAAAGACGTAGTGCAGGGTACCTGATGTCTGAAAGCACCCACATCAAGTATTTCTACTTTCTATTGTGAATATATGAATATAATGCTCAGATATTTTATTAGTCCTTGTTGAGAGAAATTACTAGTTCCTATTTGACTATAAAATTAAACTTTATTTAAAACAGTGGCTGCTTCCTAAAACTGAGCCCCTCTGTGATGCCAGATATACCTAATTGTTTAAGATAATGCATATCAAGGGTTGTGCCATTTGTTAATGTATTTCTGGAAGGTTAAACTGCTTTTGGTTGCACCAAAATATTAATGTTGATTTTATACACACACACACACACACACACACACTATAGTACATATGTTGTTCCCTGCAATTGTTTCCTCAGTTCCCTTCTGCTTTCATGCCTTGCTTCCCTCCTCCTCTTTTACTGTGCTTTCTTCCTGAGAGTCACACGGGCAATTTCATCCAACCGGGGATTATATAATGAATGAAGGAATTCCTCTACCTAAGACGGTTGTCCTATTTTGCCTAATGACAGGGTTGCCCTTGGGGTGAGCTTTTACGATTATAGATGTTACAAATGTAAAGGCCTCTTAAAATGGTACTCCACATAGCTGGAATCCCATATGGTGGTATCTGAATGGTTTGCCATTTGTAGAATCTCCACTTTGCTGCCAGACTATTCTAAAGCAATTAGGATAAACACCATATGATATATTCAATTGCGATGCCAGGCCCAACATCATCACAGAGGAAGGCTCCTCAGACTCAATTACTTGCATTTGTCTTTACTTCTGTTAATACATAGATAATTTATACACATGTCCAGAAAAAATATATATATTCATACTTCAGCACCATGAAACAAAACAAAACAACAAGTTTTCTCCGCTCAATTTTAAAATACATTCATTTCTCATACATGAAGAAATGCTGAATCCTGTTTCTCTTCTTTGAATTACAGATGAGTAATCACCATAGCGACCTCAAAATGTCAGTAGAGAGCCAGGCACTCAGCCTTCACATTTCTTACATCTAATTGGCATAGCATTTGTTTCCACTTGAAAGGGCCCAGAATGGACTTGTTTAGCATGACAAAATATGGTGTGTCTGATGGGGTTTGCAAGAGTAGGATACCTCTTGTATTACTTTGGACAGGATCACCAGAATAAGGGAGAAAGAAATGCTGGGAGCATTAGAAGCCAGGGACAAGAGGGATAGATTTCCCATGATGCAACGAGGAAAGCTTTCTCTGTAGTACTACAGTATACAGACATATCTGTTCTATGAGTATCTTCACGGAATCAGTGGAACTGTAGTTTAGTGAGGTGTTGGATATTTTTAAGCTAATCACCTGCACATTTCTATATTTATGGATCACATTGGAGTCACATTATTATGATTCACTTCACTCCGTCTTCATGGTTGCATTGGGACCAAAAACTGCCATGGCTGCCTGTGTAGATGAACTGTGCCAAAAGAAAGGCAGCGGGGATTGGACCCTGTTCCTTCTCTTTGACTTTTCAGAGCCTTTCCACTCCAACAGTCAATGACATTCTTCTGGGTCGTCTTGCTAAGACAGGAATTGGAAGTGGTTCTATTCCTACCTGCCAGATCAGTTATAGACGGGAGTGTGGACTGACTTCTGTTTAGTCTGATGATGTAAGAAAAACGCTGGGGCCTAATTGGATGAATAGTATGTCTGGCATCTGGTGGGTGGCTCTTTTGAGTTGTGCTCTGGAATCGGCCCCTCCCTTCGGGTGTTCAATTGGAGAGGCCAACTGTCATTCTTGCCTCTTGAGGTTGTTTTAGTTTCTCTCAGACAGTATGTTATTGTGTTACATATTTTTTTATTACTAAAGCTTTGTTTGACATATATGTGAGCCGCTTACTTTGCTGAAAGAAACGAAACTCTGCTGAAGAATGGTGGAATATCCTAAACTGGGTGAGTGAGGGGATATTCCCAGTCTGACTGGAGGGTTGATTTTTTTAAGCAACACCACCCTCCACAACAATGACAACTTGTGCAATGGTTCCCGCAAGGCTCCATCTTGTTCCTATTCTGTTGACCATTTATGTGAAATCACTAGAAGAGATATTCTGGAGATCAATATTGTGGTGATATGAAATTTCTCCTTTTCTTCACTAAATAAATAAATAAATAAATAAATAGAGTAATCCAGAACAGTGCCAGTATATTTTGGTTAATCCAAATATAAAACTGACCGTCAGATTGATTTGAGTTGTTCAGTCATGAATTAGACTGTCAGAGTATGTTTATCCACAACCACCCTGGTTAAATGCCAAGACCCCAGGAATCTGGTGCAACCCATGACAGAGATTGAGGTGACCTGTAATTGTGGGTGTGTGGGTGTGGTGTGGGTGTGTGTATTCAGTGTATATGTATATATACGGTACAGGAAGCCTGGACTGTGATGGAGGAAGCTTCTTCTTCAATCAGTAATTCTGATGGGTTCTTTCTGCTGTGAAAAGTTGTAAATTTTTTACAAGCTTATACTGTAATTACTAGGCATTAAAAGAACGGAATGAGCTAAAGGTTGTGTGGAAGGCAATGTGCTTTATTTTCCAATAGCATTTCAGAAGATACAGGCTCTGGATAGAGCTCAATCAGCCAGTGGGTGATGAAGAGAGAAGCAATAGGCCTAATCCCCACTAAAGTTAAGCTGTCAAAGATTGATAGTTAGGCACATACTGAATTTCCCCAAAGGGATGCCAACATGATTTCCCCGGGCTTGTTGTACTGTATGCGGATTGGGGACCCTACATACCTCGCAGCCCTCCACACTCTGTTGACAGGAAGTGTTGCTTATGTACATACGCTATTTTACCCTCACCTAAGTCACATGGATACCTCACTCACATGCTGCCATGGGCAGAAGCTAACCACATATCTATCTTTTGTAGCTCTCCTCTGAGCTGAGCTCACAAACTGATACCTCTCACTGGGCAGAGGGAAGTGGTGGAAAACAGATGTATCCCAAGCCACGCCTACCAACCTCATCTCCTCCACACGGAAAATGGGATACTCTTTCTCGACTGACTGTAGTTTGCTGTATTTCCTGTCATCAAATAATTCGTTACTAGTTGTCGTTACTGCTTAGCTACTGTCTCAATGGGTTTTACTTTACAGCCTATCTATTCTTTTCTCTTCTTTAGCAATCTCTCATTCTGCTGACAAAATGAATCAGTCTGTCTCTCCTCCAATAGATAAAGACCACTAAGTGCCCCTTGATTTAAAAGTGCTTTGTATTTTTTCATGTATATATATTATTTGACTATAATCACTTTTTATTCCTGTATGTACCAAATGCATGTACCAGCACAAAATGGATATTGTAGAGCTGGAAAAGATTCAGAAAATGGCCACTAAAAGGGGATGACACCACCCTATGAAGGAGGGTTATGGCATTTGGGACTGTCACTTTAGAGAAAAGCAGTGAGAAGGGACATGATAAAGGTGTATAAAATTATGTATACACTGTGGAGAAAGTGGGTAGAATAACAAAAATCTAGAACTCAAGGTCAACCAATGAAGCTGAATGTTGAAAGATTTTAGACAGACAGTACATAGTTAAGCTATGGCATTCTCTCCCACAGCAGGTAATTATAGCCATTAAATCTGATGGCTTTAAAAGATGATTAGACAAATTCTTGGAGGGGGATAATGGCTACTAGCCACAGTGGCTGTGTTCTACCTCCACAGTTAAGTTGCAATAAGCCTCTGAGTACCAGTGCTACACAAATTTATTATAATATTATATTATATTATATTATATTATAATATTATATTATATTATATTATATTATATTATATTATATTATATTATTATTATATTATGATTTGAAAAGCTCTAGGCTTTTCTACAGGGCATTTCTGCATATTCCTATTATACCATTATTTTTATGCTAACATTTACTTCTGGTAGAACACAAACCAGGTTGATAGCACAGAATCTGAATTTTTCACATCAAATTTCATGCACTGCACTTTATGAGCCTTTTCAAACATATACTTTGTCTGAAGTCAGCTTTATAAAAAAGAGATTAGTTCCATCAGAACAGTTCATTTTATTGATGAAATTGCACCTTTATATTGTCCCTTGATCTAATGTGGGGGATCCCAGAAAGATAAGAACAACACCGAAGGGAAATCTACATGTCAAAAAAGCATTGCAAGCCAAGATCATTTATTAAGCCAAACTGTGTTGTTTATGTGCTGTTGAAACAATCGTTTAATGAGCTCATTTCTAAGCTTCAAGTTATGTACCTCAGATCTACAAATCAAGTGGCAAATAACCTACATTGCTTTAATAACTCAGCACTTTTTTGAGTTTCCTAATGCAAATGTCCCTGATATCAGATACAAAAAGAGTCTTTTGAGAGCATGTATGTATGAGCAAAATTTGGCTCTGAAAATACCTTATTACTTTGATGGATCAACACACACAGATTGTGTTACTCACATGAGAGACATCAAATGTGACAGAATGTATATGGGAGAACTTCACAGGCAAATAGACTTTCTCAGATTCCACATCTGAGACCTTATTATAGGCAGCAAGGAAATAACGAGAAAAATAGTACCCCTTCAAGACATGTCTGAAGAAAAAATATTCCCCTAGCATGAGTGTTTGTCCAAATGGTTCTTCTTACTCATTGGTAATTTCCATCACAGTGCTACACTGGGAGGAAATCTTTAAACTACTTCTGCCCACTGCAACACTGTTGTCTACTTGAATTTTCCCCCCCTTTAATCTGCAATCACTGCCAACCTTGACTGGGTCTTGAAGAAGAAGAAACATTTGCTGGAGGGTGGGGTGGATTACGATCCAGAGTCTGGGATTAGCTTGGAGAGCTCAGTCAGTAGAGCATGATACTCATAATCTCAGGGTTGTGGGTTTGAGCCCCACACTGAGCGAAAGATTCCTGCGCATTGCAGGAGGTGGGACTAGATGACATTTGTGGTACCTTCCAACTCTACTGTTTTATAATTCTGTGATTCTCTGCTATAGAGTGCTTTTTGGGAATGGGAAATAGGAACCAGCACCAGCTCTTGCTCTGTAAGAAGAGTAGGTGGTGCTGTGGTCTAAACCACTGACCCTCTTGTGCTTGCCAATTGCAAGATCAGCAGTTTGAGTCTGCATGACGAGGTGTCGTCCCACTGCTCTGTCCCACCTCCTGCCAACCTAGCAGTTTGAAAGCATACCAGCGCAAGTAGATAAATAGGTACCTCTGCGGCAGGAAGGTAAATGGCATTTCCGTGCACTCTGGCAATCGTCACGGTGTCCCATTGCACCAGAAGTGGTTTAGTTATGATGGCCACATGACCCACAAAGCTGCCTGTGGTCAAACGCTGGCTTCCTCGGCCTGAAAGCGAGATGAGTGCCACATCCCATAGTCAAATTTGACTGGACTTAACCATCCAGGATCCTTTTCCTTTACCTTGCTCTGTCTTTCTGGCCATTAGTTAAGTTATATCACTCTCTACAGTCACAGACAAGGAAGGACTGTCACAATTTTCATAAAGCAAAGAGTCAATTTTTTCTCCCCCAAAGCATTCAGCATACCCCACTCCAAAATTAAACACACACCCTGCTTCATGGGGGGTCTGAATGCTACCCCCTACCCAAATAGTCAAAACAAAACATTTGAGTGAAATAATATATTTGAGTGAACCAGACAACAGCCCCATCTCAATAAACTAGCTTCATTAGCCTAGCAGTATAAAACTATGCCTGTACGGGGTTTTAATATACCACTCTTCTTCAACTTCAGCCTGATAACAATTTCTCGATAACACATTTTGATCTGTACAGTCTATGTTTAAATATGATAACTGCTAGCTTGTCAGCCCATTCAGTGAAATGTATTATGGCTGGTCCACATTTAGAGGCAGTGTGTTATTGCTACAGATGCTCTTGATTGATTGCATATTTCCCCCAGAATTTCTTGAAGAATATGAATAGTCCTACATTTGCATCTCACACAACATTTTGTACTCAAGGACACATGCCTAAGAAAGAAAGAAAATAAGCACACGCCACACCATTTCCCCCCACTGCTTATTCTTATTTATGTGTATGTTAAAAAGACAAGCAGTGAATAATGCATTTGATTTACCCTGTTGGAGAAGTCAGGGGGCACTTAATTGTTATTTATATTTTATTAAGGACTTTAACAGATGTTCAGCAGATGGTTGGCATGAACTACAGAAATGAAGAACATTTGCATCAAGTTCTCTGTACCCCTCCCAGCCCCTTCATTCTCCCCACCATTCTACTACATTCCATTTCCTCTCCATATAATATTTTTCAGGCTTCACAGAGTTCTCTTTGTGCCTGCTTGCTAAATGTGATTAAGGAGCGAAGTCTGCAGATTCAGTAGCGTTTTCTTTGAGATGAATTCTAGAACTTTGTCAGAGTAAATTAGCCACCTAACTCAAAAAAGTCTATATATTTCATTTAAAGTATTTATTTGGCAGGCAAATTAGACATTTCTGCCAGTAAAGTAGCATGTGTGTTGGTTTATCTAGTTTCACATGAATGCTTGATAGAAGCCTCTGTTGCACTACTATTCACAATTCACACAAAGAAAACATGGCAAATCCTTCATTTCTCCTGCTTGTACTCATCAAAAAAAGAAAAGAAAACAAACATTGAACAATTGTGACATTTTTAAAAATACAATTTAATTTGAGCCAACAAAGAATCAGGACTCATTACTATTCAGTGCTGTCCTTTTTGAAATGCAAACAAAGCATATAGAAAATATTTTGACTGATGAAAATCTAAAGAGATGGAGTCAAGTTAACTGAAGCTCAAATAGCTTTTGTTAATATTTGTTTTCCTGCTTTCTGAGGTGTTACCAAACCATTCCAGTCTTGTGTCATGTGCATATTTGTTAAGTATTCTCTCCTCTCCTTCATCTAAATCATTAATAAAGGTGATGAAGTGTATCGGACCCCAGGCAGGGCTTTTTTCGAGCTGGAACTCACAGGAACTCAATTCCGGCACCTCTCAGATGGGTGCCATTGCCATTATAAGAGGAAAGGGGAGGTGTTTATGGTGAGTTCTGACACCTCTTTTTCTAGAAAAATAGTCCTGGCCCCAGGATACAACCCTTGTGGACCCACTCTGACGAGAAGACATTGCTGAGCACACTTTGAGTACAGTTTTGAAGCCAACAGTGAATCCATCTGTACCACTATGAAGCCCATATTTAACCTGTTTGCCAACCACAATACAGTGGTGCCTCGCAAGACGAAATTAATTCATTCTGCGAGTTTTTTCGTCTTGCAAATTTTTCGTCTTGCGAAGCAATGCACCCTGGGTATTAACGGTTTTAAGAAAAAGGAAACAAACTTGCAAGACGTTTTCATCTTGTGAAGCAAGCCCATTGGGAAATTCGTCTTGCGAAGCAACTCAAAAAACCAAAAACTCTTTCGTCTTGCGAGTTTTTCGTCTTGCGAGGTACCACTGTATCATGGGTTGTTGCTGTTGCTGTTGTTTAGTCGTTTAGTTGTGTCTGACTCTTCGTGACCCCATGGACCAGAGCACGCCAGGCACTCCTGTCTTCCACTGCCTCCCGCAGTTTGGTCAAACTCAGGCTGGTAGCTTCGAGAACACTGTCCAACCATCTCAACCTCTGTCGTCCCCTTCTTCTTGTGCCCTCCATCTTTCCCAACATCAGGGTCTTTTCCAGGGAGTCTTCTATTCTCATAAGGTGGCCAAAGTTTTGGAGCCTCAGCTTCACAATCTGTCCTTCCAGTCTTCTTGCATCTTCTCGGGGACTCTCAAGAGTCTCCTCCAGCACCATAATTCAAAAGCATCAATTCTTTGGCGATCAGCCTTCTTTATGGTCCAGCTCTCACTTCCATACATCACTACTGGGAAAACCATAGCTTTAACTATACGGATCTTTGTTGGCAAGGTGATGTCTCTGCTTTTTAAGATGCTGGCAAGGTGATGTCTCTGCTTTTTAAGATGGGTAGTTATGTCAAAAGTCTGGGTTGTGAGAAGCCGCCAGAATTATTTCTGCTGATTTTTTCTGTCCTGCCAAAAGTGGTATTGCATACTTTCAGAAGAACAATATTTTCCAAATGGTTGGTTTCAAGTTAGTTCATTAATCAACATTAGCATGAATAACTTACTATTCAGAGTTCTAACTGCTGAGCTGTTGCTTAACTTTATTCCCTTTAGTGTTCAGAGCTTGCTATCACTTATAACTGTTCCTTCCCAAAGCTTACTGTTGTGTCTAGATGGATATCCCACACTGGTTCAGTGCTGTGCATTTGACTTATCTTTTGGGGGGAGGGTCATTCTTTAAAAATCTGTAGCTTAATCTAGGACAATGAACCCAAAGCTGTGAATAAGGAGTTTTAAAACTGAAAACGCACACACATATTCTTTGCATCCCAAATTTTACAGTAACGGGCCACTTGCTTTCCCCTTTATTCGTATTTGGGTGGTCTTCCATACGTTGTTTATTCTTGTATATAATCTTCCTTGTATAACTTACTTTTATTATAGGCAACAAAAATTATATATTTTTCTCTTCCTACAACATCAATATTTCTCTTCTTACTATGAGATTTTGGTGTACCATTAGTTTGTGAATCACATTACTGATGCTTCTTCTTTCAAAGAAACCTGTTTGATGAGAAATGACAAATAGCCTCATGAAATTATGCATAGAAACCTAATATTACATTAGCTTGGGAGACGACATCCTTTCCATAGATTTTTCTAGCTATGTCTTACAGGATTAATTAACCAAGAAGTGATTTCCTCCTGTGTTTATAAAGTGATATTTCAGTTTGGTTTCAGGTGGGAAGGCATAATTGATAAAAGAACTGTCACATCAGCAGCAATAGCAGTGCTAACAAAATAATATTCTGTTGGCATTATGCAATTGAGGTTACATTTACTCAGGAAATGTACAGGTATATTTTGTTCTGACAATAATTCAATTCCCTGCTCTGCTATGAAGCTCACTGATCTTAGACCAGTCAATATCCTCCAACCTAACCTACCTCAAAGGGTTGTTGTGGGGATAAACTAGGGGAGGGGGGAATATTTGGAAGAAAGGCAATAAATAAATATCACTTTTCAGACCGTCTTTAGTGCATAGACCAAATGTGCAGATGTGGGAAGAATGAGACTTTGCCTGACAAACCTTCTTTCTTTCTTTTTTAATAACATTTATTCAAAAGTTACAATGCAGCTTTGTCTACTGCCATAATATCACAGAATGATCACTCCAGTCCTCAATCCCACATCACTGTCATGTTGGCTCACCAGATATCCTCAGTAGGAACCCAACTACCAATCTGGTGGGCTAGAGCTTTTCAATCAATATATCCCCTCCACAGACACCTCTGTGATGATGATGGCATTAAAATATCCCATTCTTCTTCAATAAAAGAGAAAAAGGGAGACCAGATTGTATTAAAGGTATCTTTTTTGGAGATGTTCTTGATTAGTCACCGATGGTATGTTAGGCGTTCTGATAGAGCAATGCTCCAGATGTTATTAACCCAAGCCTCTATTGGTATATTAGATATTTCCTTCCATTGTTGGGCAATAACTATCTAGCTGCCGTGAACAGGAAGGAAATTAATTCATTAGATTTAAGGGTAGAATTTGGGGTAAAATCTAGTGATAATAAGGCAAGTGCCAAATAAGGAGGAATAGATTGTTTAGTGATTTTGGAGGTCATTTGGCGAAAGTTTCTGAGAGTAAGAGCTGTTCAACAGTGGAATGTACTCTTTTGGGAGGTTATAGATTCTCCTTCACTGGGGGTTTTTAAGGCTGGATGTTCATCTGTCATGGATGTTTTAGTTGAGATTCCTGCATTGCAGGGGGTTGGACTAGATGACCCTTCCAACTCTATGATTCCGTGATAGGCCCACACTTCAAC